TGAAAATTCAAATGCGCACCGCCAAAACAGGTTAACAAAGTGGCTAACAAGGCAGTCGGGCAGCTAACACATAGACAGCTACCACAAGCAGAGCTACCCAATCCGACTCTGACTCCGACTCCGACTCCGATCCCAACTCCAACTTCAATTCCCAATTCCGTTGCCCGATGCGAACCTGGACCTGCCGGACTTGAACGAACGCATGCGCGTTGACCGCCCGCCGTGCTACACATTCTGAGAACTTTCCACTTCAATTAATAACTAATTTGATGTGTGCCGCGCTGATCGCGGTGCATTTTATCGATTTGGACAGCGCCCAGGCCGCATTTGGAGCAGTGCGGTGCGGGGGGCAGCACAGGAGTAGCAATGACGATGACGATGACGATATCGATGCGACGTTTCCAAGCACCTTAGATGCACCTCTGCACCTCAGCTCCCCTGCAACCAGCAACCTGCGCCCTGCAGCTCGAGCAATCGATTGATTGAGCAGGGTCCATGCGATACGTGACAGTGAATGTAACACAAGCGGAAGGAGGCGTCACAGAGAGAGGGCAGAACTCAAAGGAATTATAAGTAGACAACGTTTGATTTGTGGGAACAGTCAATAGAGAGAAGAAAAGGTACATTGTGTTGATAGATTCCGAAGTTATCTAATGATTTATTCGAGGGAATTAAATAATAAATGGTAGCAATTAAATAAAATAAACTATATAATATTTTAAGAGATTGGACTATGCAAGAACTGCGTATACTCGAGACAAGATATTAAATGAAATAATTTGGAAAATTCAATGGAAAATTAAATGAAATTCAATTTTTTCTATTTTCATATTGTTTTCCAAGCAATTATCATAAGTCAGTGTCACAAAATATAAGACTATGCAAAAACTTCGAATGCTCGAGTCCGAAATCAAAATTGTAAATAGAGAAAATAATATTATTTTCAAATAATGTATTCTAATTAAATATATTTTTATTTTTCAAGATTTTCAAGAGGAGTTTGGAAATATATTAGGAAATTACCTAAAATATTAGATAAAATTAAATTGTATATATTTTGTTTATTTTTTTGTATTAATAAATGGTGCAAAAAAGCTACGCATTCTTGAATTCCATATCAAAATTGTCAACAGAGAGTAAAAAAATGGTCTATTTTGCTGAAGGACCCTGCATTTATTTATTGAAATATTCTAGAGAATTCCTTAAAAATAAAATGAAATAAAAAATAATCATAATAATTACTTTAGCTAATAAATATCATAGAAGAAAAACTTCCCATCACCCATCAATTGTAAATAGTGACCCATATCAAAATTGTAATTAGTAGAAAATTACAATATCAGTTAACATTTACGGGGCTTAACTTGGAAAATGTATCGAAACACAGTTGATTATGGGTATTCGAGAAGCTGTATAAATTTTATGGAAATTGCTCGAGTGGATGCTGAGTTATGAGCAGTTAGTGTAGCGCATTTCAAGATTCTATAGTAATTCGCTGGATGCGAGAGGCATGTTGAGCAGAACCAGTCGGATCAACGTTTGGATAATTATGGCTTATTGTAGTCGTATGTGTTGCATGTGGTATGTGGGATACTTGTGTGCCTGTGCTGGGGCAGCTGCTGCTCCACGGTGAGATCCGCCCGCTGATGCTGAGGCTGGAGCCGCGCTGCTCCAGGTAGTGCTTGTCAAGCGGTTAACCGCCTGGCGTGCCAGGCTAAATAAATCACTTGGCTAAATACCCCAAACGTAGTTTAGGCCCAACGCTCGCTTTGCGTTTGGGTTTTCAGTGTGGTTTGGTTTTGCTTTTTGCACTGCAACACTTCAACAATAAATAACCAAGTCATATTTTTCACCTCCGTTTTTGCCAGTTGTATGCAGTTGTTGTTGAGTCACTTCCTGGTTTTTGAACTCCACATACATACCACAGAGAGACAGAGAGCGAGAGCGAGAGATCAAGCCAAAGCTGGGCACATTAACAAGCATATTACCTACTATCTGCAGCCAGAGAAAAATATGCAAAATTGTTGCCTGCCCGAGCCGAGGTCCAACTCGGAGCTGTTGTCGGAGTTGGAGTTGAGCTGCAAATCATTAACATCTCTCCTGGGCCAGAACCAACTCGACCAGCAGCAGCAGCACCACGAACATATTTTGCACGTGACCTTATTTCCCCCGCACAGCCAGAAACGGGGAGGCTGCTGTGTGGTTGAAGAGGTTTCTCGGTGGTTGCTTGTTTGGTGGTTGCAACCAACATCAATTTTCGATCACGTTTTAAGTGTCTTGCGCCGTTCGCGTCGCCGTCGCCATCGCCATCGCCAGCCCATCATCATCGCCATCATCATCATCCTCCTCGTCCTCGTCCTCGTCGTCGTTGTCGTTGTTGTCTTCTAGCCCAAGTTAAATGATTTAAAACCAACAAAAAAAATATCGTGCCAAGTGCTGCATATTGCACATTGAGCTTAGGCACAGTCAAAGGCACAGTCACAGACCCAGGCCCAGAAACCCCAACAACGTCAGTCACTCAATCCAATCCAATCCGAGCCAATCCGTTAGACGTTGCCTCGCGTCGCAGCTGATTGTTGCCTTGGCTAAGGCCTTTCTGGCCCGGCTTGTAGGTAAATTTGGCGGCTAACGACACAGCGGTGCAGCCAGCACTCACTAAACTGCATTATCACGCCTCTCCATTGCATTATTGGCAGCGGCATCGGCAGCGGCAGCGGCAGCATTGCCATTTCCCTTACTACGTGTTGGCCAAGGTGAAAAGCAAGCCAGAGCCGAGCTGTTTGGGGCGGTGGAGCTGTGTGTTGTGTTGCTTGAACTGGACCCAGTGAAGCATCGATCCTAACTACACTTCACTAAGCAGCCACAAAAAATATATCTGACAGATGCGACTCGCGCTCATTCGGACGTGGATGCGGACGTGGTTCGCATTGCTACGATTCGTTGCGCTATTCACATTTAGGTGTCTACTTAAAAAATCAAAAACGTTATACAATCCCAGCCAAAACGACATTGCAGGCGGCTGGCTTTCTGTCTGACTGTCTGACTGTCTTGCTGGCTAACCGCAAGCCAAAAACAAAATACCAATTCATATTCATATGCAAAACAGCTCGACTTGAATATACTCCTTAATTCTGGCGCATATTTAAACAGCTTTTTCCCATTTCAAAAAGTGCGAAAAAGGTTTGCAAATGGAATATTCTTTACGGCTTGTTTGCAAAATGTTTAATGAATTTTCATTCCACTTATTTTCCACCTGTGCGAATGGAATCTTTAAGGAAGCTCAAAGTTTGCTTGAGGAAAATCAACAATGCATCCATAAGTAAGGCAATATGTTTAATGAATTTTCATTTCACTTATTTTCCACCTTTGAGAGTGGAATCTTCTTTACGGTGGTTAAAGTTAGATTAAGGAATATCAACAATGCACCCATGAGATAAGCAATATGTTTAATGCATTTTTATTCCACTTTTTTTCCACCTTTAAGAATGGAAACTTCTTAACAGTGGTTAAAGTTTGCTTGAGGAACATAAACAATGCAGCCATATAAGTGTGTTTGGCAACCCTAAGCGCTGGCACGTTGAGCACGAAGCTAAGGTATCGAAACCCCTTCAAGACGAAGGGGTTTTGATTATTTTATATTAGCAAATGTTTTTTTTTTTTTTTAATACAATTAAGCAAATACAAAAAAAAAAGAGATTCTTCTGGTATATGTAATCATATTGCATACAAAATTCGACTATTCCTTGCCAACTTTCGTCAGCCTTTCTTTGCCTGTAAAGTAGCCAACACTTAACAACTATATACCCTCATTTGATTACAGGGCATGCAAAAAAATGACGTGGCAAATAAAACAGAGCGACGTCTGCAACTGGACAGATACCTGGGACTGCGACTGCGAAGAAATCTGCCTCTGACTCTGACTCTGACTGTGAGTCGGACTGTGAGACGGAGCGCCGGGATCGAAGAAGCAGGCTGCGGTTTGCTTTGCCATCTCGCGGCTTGTGTGCCTTTCATTGTGTGGTGTGAATGTTATGGAAATTTGTTAAGTTCTGCATACACAAAACTCGAAACCCGAAAAGCACTTGGCAATTTGCACGAAAGTTGCCCCCCAAACGGCATTGCCAGCTGACAAACGGGACGGGGAATTTGGGGGCATATGCGAAGTAACTTTTTTTGATTTTCACACCCAAACAACAGAGCAAAGGCATACAAAAGGCTTCTTCTTAGTGGCGGGCACATGTGACAGCTTTATTGGATTCCCATACACACCCAAAGCTATTTAACAGCCCAGGCAATTGATATATGTAGACAGAGCAAGGGAGACAGAGAAAGCTGCCCAATCGGCCAGATATTTGTGCTTGGGACTCACTTAACTCGCTTGAAAATGATTTGTCAGTTATGGATTTGCTGCGGGCGCTTACGGTGGGGCGGGCCGCTTGAGGGGCACTAAATCGCCTAATGCATTTGGCATTCAATAATTTAAATGCTATTCGAACTCGGAGCTGAAGCTGAATACGAAGCTGGGTTTCCTCTTCTCAATACAATTGGTTTAGCCAGCTGCTGATTGATTGAGAGCTCAAGTCGTTATTTTTTATGATTTGGATAATTGCATTGATATGCTTGGAGGATTGAGGCAGGTCCTCGTAATCTCTCAAGAGCATTTCAAGGCAGTTTTGTGCTAGATCATGTATGCATAAGAACATATTATAATTTAATAAGATATTCAAGAATTGTCTGATGGGCCAAAGAAGAGGATTTTGTGAAGATTCCGCTTTGAAGAGCCCAAGAAAAGCTTGACAACTTGCATAACTCAAAATGGATGCCGGGTAGCGGGTCAAATTGTTCTATAATGTTATCTTATGCTCTTTACCAATCTCAAGTGTTAACGTCTATGCATAGAAGCTACTTTTCACAATCCCGCAGACATTTTTTTAAATGAAATATCCAAATATCAATCTAAATGTTCTCATTTATATAAGAATATGTAAATATGGACTTACCCAATTTCACAAGCCCACGCATGATTTTTTATTGCCATAATCTTAGTAGGAGGGAAACAGCTTGTGTATAAGTATAAAACTGAAATAAAAGTAGAGAGCGGGTTAGAGAAAAAGCCAGAGAAAGAGATATCAAATGAGAAAGAGAGCGTGCACTGCGAGAGAGTTAATTGAAGTTAGAGTATGAGCAGAGATAGATGGAGAATAAGATGATAATGAATCTTATTTGAATTAATGAGAATCGCATAGAAGAGCAACATTTAAAAATATTTTTTTTTTGCATAGGAGTTATGAGCAATCCAAGAATAAAGCTTTATTTAACACATGTTTTTAAGAATTATATATTAAAACATGTAAAGATCTCATGTAAAGCTTTAAGAAAAGGTTTGAGATAGAAACTTGAAACTTCGCCCACACAATTTTCCCCACTATGTGAAACACGTCTGAAATGAATTTTTGAAAAGATCTGTTAAAAGAAAGATATTAAATAGAAGGGTATTATAGAAACGTTTTTCAGCAATTTCCCACGTTTGCGGGTGGATTTTTCCAACAGTGAATATTCGCACACCCTCTATGATTTGATCGAAGTGTAAATGGCATACAATAGGCAGATGCTTGAGCTCAGTGGTAGACGCTCTTTAGATACTGCCAAGTGGCCACAGTAGTAGAATCCTGTCAGCCCACCTGGCAAGTCATGAGAACCGGGCAGCTCTACACAAAAATGTAGATCCCCGAAGGAAATCCTTGTCAAATGTTCACACAAATGTTGTGTGGACATGTGCAATTTTCGGGAACTATTTGTGGGGCATTTTCATTGAATGGTAAGCGACCAAAATGAAGACTATAAATAAACAAGGCAGTAGAAGGGAAGACAGGGGAAGAAGCCAAAGGCAGCCCGTAGAGACTTAAGAGTTCTTAAGCCAAAAAGAAGACTACGGCAAACGATCGATCAAAATAAATCACAAACGGACAAAAACATTGGGCAAAGAAAACGTTAAGCCAGCAATTGTGCGCACAATTTTCCAATTTACCAATTTTCCCTACCCATGTTTTGAGTAAACAAATGTTTTGCGTAACAAAAGGGAAATGGATATGGCAACACGAAGCCGATAGGCAAGAAAACTGCCCGCCAGGCACAACGAATATGCCCAAAAGGACGCCGAGACCAGGCCACAAAGAACCAGCTGTCAATGGTATATTATAAGAAAGGTAGATGGATCGAAGGGTAAGGTGAGCTACAGTGAGCCATAGGTAGAATCGAGCCGAGAGCCATGGCAAAAAGCACAATTACTTTGCTCTGCTCTGCTGGCTAAACAAACCTCAAAAGATTGGGCCCTAAGGCAGCAAAGAAAAATAAAAAAGAATAAGAAAAAGGACAACAGCTGGCGTGCTGTGAGACGTGCGGAGAGCGTGTTTCGTAACGCACCGCAGGACCCTTGCCAAGTCACGGCTCCTACAAAGAGCGAAGCCTAACTGGGTGCCCGTTTTTGTTAGACACGGCCAATTGCTTGGAAATTTGGATGCGCGCATATGTCCTGATATCCTCCTGACCAGGTAGAGGCAAGGACAACCAAAAATTGTGTGGTCTATGCTCGCGGTCAGCCCGTGGTACGGGCTATATATCAATCCCAACTGCGGTTGACCCAAACCCTGACACTAATCATAGCCCAAGCGTAAAGGCGTTGATAGCCCAGCACAGGTACAGGTCCAGGCTCAGGTCAGAGCCAAAAACACAAAACAAGACTTTGACTTTTCGCTGCCCAAAAACTCATTAGAGTTTTTCTTCAACTTTTTTTGTGTTTTTTTGGAATCTTTGGGTTTTCATGCTGTCCAGCTACGAGTCACAAAACAACAACAAAAAAAGCCTCAAGAAAAAATCTTAATAAATTCATCAAAAATCAGCAGCAAGCATCTCACGACTGCAGCAACACCAAGCTGCAGCAGGGCTAGGCCTGCGGGCAGGGGGCATGGGGGGGCAAGGGGGCAGGGGGTGGCGTGCGGGCGTGTGTCAGGCGTTGCCGCTGAAAATCAATGCCAGGCGATCGTCAGCAACATATTTCAAAAAAACACAAACTTACAAATATATTTTGCATTTTGTCGCTGCCAGAAGAAGCAGTAAAAAAGAGCTGCCAAAAAGCTGCTGCTGCTGCTGCTGCTGCAATCGGACACGTTTCTGGCCGTGCCAGTTAGCCAGTTAGCCGGTTTCGGACTTGCAACATGCGACTTGCAACCTCGGCGGTGGAGGCGTCTTTACACATTTGCATGCTCAAACAGCAATCGATCACAGGCAGCGGCAGCAGCCCAGAAGACTCCGTTCACCCAGCACCATATGAGGAGGAGCAGCAGCAGCAGCAGCAGCAGCAGCAGCAGCTGGAGCAGGAGGGGTAGGTGCATGTCAGGGGGGTGTAAACTGGTTTATGCATACAGGCTGCGTGCACATGCGATATTATGCAGAAAGAGACAGAGAGAGATAGAGATGGAGAGGGGGAGCGAGAGAGTGCAATTTGAAGCTGAGATTTTTGTTGATCGTTGGCTACGTTTTTGGTGTGCCAGGAGCAGCAACAACAACAACAACAACAACAATTCGCTGCAAAGTGGAGGTTAAAAAAATTTGCAAAAATATTAACGAAACGTAGGCAGCGGCAAATGTTGCTGCTGCGTCTGCTGCTGCTGCTGCGGCTGCTGCTCGCCTTTTTCCACTGCAATCTGCAATTATAGCGCATGGTTAAGCAGAGCAGGGCGAGAGACCGACAGAGAGAGAGAGAGAGAGAGAGAGAGAGAGAGAGAGGGAGAGTGTGAGAGAGCGAGGGGGGTGCTTAGCTGCAGAGACTGGCCGAGTGCTCAGTGCTTTTGACTGGGCGGTTTGTTGAACTTTGACAGGAAGTTGAGAGCCGAGAGACCAGACAGGAGAAGACTTAAACTAAAGCTGAAGCTGAAGCTGAAGCCTGCTGCCTGTTGCCTGTTGCTGAAGTTGAAGCTTTTGCTTCTTTTTTGATGATGTGACTTGGCTTTTGTTTAATGCTGGCTGCTGGCTGCTGCTGCTGCAGCGGCTGTGGCGGCGGCTGCTGTTGATGATGGGTGAAGGTTGTGGAGGACATGGACATGCAGAGTGCTGCAGACAATTGACAATGTGAAAACGATGTCGATTAAGTTGCTGCTGTTGCTTGCATACGACAGACAGACAAACAGACAGACAGACAGACAGACCGACAGCGAGACAGACAGAAAAGGGCAACACAAAATGCTCTTAACGATCAACTGAGGCCACAACGCAAAGTTATGCGAGATTCGATTGTTGCCCGACGCTGTTCCTGTCCCTGGCCCTGGCCCTGGCCCTGCACTCACCTCAGCCTAACTGACTGTGACTCTGTTGGTGTAAATTGTTTTAACAGCCTTGAAGGATAAGCAGCCACCGAATTGCGGTTGCCTTCAATGTTATTGTTAACCAAAAATTTACACTCTGCAGAGGGCTGATAATGATGCTCAGGCTTCGTTTCTTTTCTTCTCTTGATAATATTATCCGATTTCAAAGAAGAAGACATTAAATTGAACACGAATTCAGGAAGTTATTAGCTTATTTAAAAAGAATTCGCGAGGCATTTTCAATTATGCACATGACTGTTAAGACTGTTACAAAGATTAGAGCTTATGTTAAGTTAACATAATAAAATAGAAATAAAGTAAGGGCAGGAAGATAAGATATCGAAATTGAAGCTTTTTTTTTTTTTTCTGTTTATTTAAAAAGAATTCCCAAAATATTTGAAATTATGCAGAGGGCTGTTAAGATAGTAACATAGACTAGAGCCTATGTTAAGTTAACATAAAAAATATATTAATAAAATAAATAATATTGGCGCGAGGATAAGATTTCAAAATTGCATAAATAAATTGAAACAAGCCTCTCTACAAAAAGACGCTACTCTTCCCATTAAAAAAAATGAAACAATTAATAGTTTAAACCTAAGCGCAAGAGTTTTCTTTTGTTTAAGGCTCAAATAGATTTTCTTCGTTATGTTCAGTGCGTGTTTTAAAGAGATTCCTTAGCGAGATTATCAACACTCAAGTTCACAATCTTCTGCGAGTTTGAATCGCGCATCTTATCGCTGCCATCAGATTTTGCCACATAGTCAAGCGATGCTGCTGATAGGCTTTACACCAGGCGAGCGCGCGCGCAGGAGAGAGAGAGAGAGAGAGAGATCCTCGGCTTAATTTTGTAATTACTATAATATATCCCTTGTGCCATGACTCGCAAGGCTTCCAGGCAGCATTCTCACATTCTCCATGGCACTGCGGCACTGGCATCATCCGTAACGGCCTGAAATGCTCAAACAACTGCGGGGCACAAGCTGAGCAGCGTGCAAGATGCCGCATGCAACCAATTCAGCGAGTGGATGCGAAAAAAAAAAGAATTGAAAACTAACTGCTCCCTGTTTATATTTATATTATATTACGCTTCGTGCCAAGCTAACAACAACAACAACAACAACAGCAACAACAACAGCAACAAGTGAATGCCGATCTTCTGGGGGGTGTGTGTCTTGGCTAAAGAGCAACGTTTATGCCGCGCTCCGACTTCTCGCTCCCTTCACTTTGCGCAGGCGCGCGCGCGCTCACCCCAACAACTCTCGAAATAATTATGGAAAATGCGTTGGTCGCTGGGCAAAGGGAAGAGAGAGGGGCTTGGCCACGGCATGTTTCCTTTGCATGGGCATGGGCAATGAGCTATGATGAAAAACAACAAGCTCATAATAAATAATAACCAGGCAGGCTGGCTGGCTGGCTGGCTGGCTAGCTGGCTAGCTGGCAGGCAACACGCGGCAAGCGGTGCGCGGGGTAACAAGCGCTAATTATCGACAACAAGCTAAAACAGTGGCCTACAATTACGCAGCGACGCCAGCAGCGGCAGCGGCAGCAGCAGCGACAGCGAAGCCAGCTGAAGGCGCCCTACGCACTGCCGGGCCGGAAAAATATAACGAGCCGGGCCAGCGCTTGGGCTTGGTCGCAGGCTTACCTGTTGAAAGCTGCCTGCCTGACTGACGTCCGACTTGGTATGGGGCATGTGTGTGTGGCTGTTGCTGCTTCTACTGCTGCTGCTGCGGATGCAACTGCAGCCATTAAAATTTACACAGCTCTTTTTAAGCGGTCATCGTCAACGCAGCCTCAGAGCCTCAATGCCTCACAGCCTCGCAGGCAGCGTCATCATCGTCGTCGACGGCCTTTCTCCCATTGGCGCAAACTTGTTAACTTCTTGGCATGATGGTCATCATGCAAGCCAAATTCAAGCGAGAGAGAACGCGAATTCAACGCTAACAACAACATGCAACAGCAACAAACATAAGAGGCTGGGCCTGTCAGCTCAAAGACAACGAACTGTCTATGCTCTTGCGAAAGTGCGTGAGCTAGGAGTCGATTAACTTAACGATTCACATTTAATACGCAATAAGGTGGCAACGCTGCGTTTGTCAATTCGTTTAAAGTGTATGTTAACTTAACAAGGAGACGATACATTTTACTGCCACACGACAATTGATTACAAGGTGACAACGCTGCGCTTATCAGTTAGTTAAAGTGCATGTTACCTTTACAAGGAAGATGAGCAAACTTGCCGAGAGTATTTTGCAGAAGTTTGCGAGCTAAGCGTCGTCAAATTATCAATTCATGTTTAATTCTCAATAGAAAGCTGTCGCACAGCTATTTTTTAAAGTGCATGGTAATTATACAAGGAAGATGAGCAAAATGTGCTAATGTATTTTGCGGAAAGGCATGAACAAGACGTCGATTAATTTGACAATTCATATTTAACTCTCAATAGAAAGTTGGCACACGACAATTTATTGCATGGCGGAATAGTTGCGTTTCTCAATTGGTAAGTGTATGGTAACTTTACAAGGAAGATGAGTGTATCTTACAGAAGTCCGTTTACAATTCTTAATTAACTCTCAATAGAAAGCTGCCATAGAACAATTTTAACAAGATGGCAACGCTGCGTGTCAAATTTAAAAGGAAGATAAGCAAACTGTCCTAAATTATAATAATTCAGTAACTAATAAGTAAAATTGTCTTAGTAAACACTCTATTCACACGTCTCGCCAATGATCCTCGGATCGACTCGCGAAAAAGCTGATCCATATCGACTGGCATAGTTGATATGCTTTCAGCTCTGCGCGCTCGTCGGCAGTGTATAACAAGCAGCCGCGGGTATGGGCCGCCGTGTGTATTGGTTGCAATTTATAGGCGCAGGATCGGTTACAAGCCAACGAGTTGGTAACACAAACCGGCGGCAGTTGCCACTCGGCAGTTGCTGCAGCTGAGCGCTGATTTTTATGCTGCAGCAGCGGCAGCAGCAGCAGCAGCAAAAGCAGTTGCTGCAACTGCAACTTTGGCCGTGTGGAGATTTGCAACGCATCTCTTTGGCATTGGCTGTGGTTGCGGCTGTTGCTGTTGCTCTGGCTGTGGCTGTCGCTGTGGCTGTCGCTGTGGCTGCGGCTGGGCGTTAACTGCGAAGTAATTGCGTTTCGGCTATGCAAGTACATAAATTGGATTTGAAATATGTACACATGTTGATGGATTCCGCCAAGCAAGCGGCGCAGCGCAGCGCAGCCCGTGCTGCGGGTACTCGTACTCGGACTCGGACTCTGACTCGCACTCATACTCATACTGAGACCTGCCACCGCCTCTATCTGTGGCTGCTATCTGCCTTTGGACGCATGGACTGCCGCTGAGTGTTGCATTTCTAAACGGATTCGATGCCGGGAAGGCGGCCAGGCAGCCAGGCAGCCGTACCATTTGTCTTTCGATAATTATCATTTCACTCTGATAGCATCAATTTGAAAACAGTTGATGATTTTTGCTGCGTGTGTCGCTCGTTAACAAGCTGGCAAGGCGGAGGCAGCTGCGAGCGAGCCGATAACTAAAATACTTCTACAAAACGGGAGCCGCTGAGCTGCTGAGCCGCGCCCTGCAGCTAGAAGAAGACCGGGACAAGTGCCAGCCCACAAAATGCTGCATCATGTTCGATTGCAGCTGCTGCAGCGGCATTTTAATCAATAAAAACAACAACAATTCGCATGAAAGCTTAAAAATAGTAACATATCTAACGTAGTTTCAAGCTAAACACAAGTTATTTCTGTCGTGAAGCAATTTTCAATTAAGTTTCAGAAATAATTTTGTATGAGAAGGGGTTTGCGAATTATAGAAAGTGTTGCATACCTCAAAGGGCGCATATAAAAATGTAGCATACTTTTAGCTGCTAAGCGATCAGCGCTCAGTGCAATGGTTGGTGCCTTGACTAAATAGCAATAGATGGCGCTGTGACGTGAGCTAAGCCTACAGCAGAGTATTGCACCGCATTAAGAGCATGTGCATGTAAAACTGTCATTGACTGCTTGAGTGAAACTCAAGGAGCAACAAATTGAGGGAAAAAACTGATATTAATTTTGAATAATAAAGAGAAAAATCTCAAGTTTCCAGTTTGTCCCAACTCACAAGTCGTTTGTCTTTATTGCTGCCACGTTCGTGTGCTCAAAGAACCACATTTGGCGCTGATTCATGTAGTCACAGCGCCTAACGTACACCCGCATTCGCACATTGAACTCCAGGCAGTGCCTATTGCTAATCAGGTAATTTTTGTCCATGTCCAGTCGCCAGCTCTGGCGACCGCCGAGCGTGTGGCAGGCACTCAGTGCCACATATTGAGTGGGCTGCACCTCAGCACAAATATCGACACCGAGTCGCAGATCATTCAGAGAGCTTAGGGTCCAGTTTTGGGTCAACTGCTGGACGGCATTGCAGGGCTGCAAATGAATGCGTCGAGTTTGCAAATCAGCCGTCAGGCAGTGGCTGGGCAGGTGGGCGGGTCGCAGGGTGCCGTGCGCCAGGTCAATGCGAGGCAGCAGTGGAAAATGCCGCAGCAGGTCGGTTGCCACATGCTGCAAATACCAATCGAAGGACTCGAAATCGACTCGTTTAATGAGCTCCTGCAGCTTAGATACATTGGGCAAGTGGGCCTGCAGGATTTGTGGCTGATGCTGATAGACCACAGATTTGTACCTGGGCTCACTTAGCCAGATCTCCGTCAGACGTTTGTAGCTCTAAAAGCGACAGCCAGTTATGGTTTACTGTTTGAATCGAATTCGATAAGAACTGGCTCACACTGAAATGCTCGCGGGCCATTTGCTGAAGATCTCCATAGCGCTGCATGTAGCCGAGATCGCTGGGCTGCAGATGGGCCACACGGGAGCAGGGCACTTGGAGCACGCGTCCTCCAATGCGCCACACCTTGAAGCTCAGCTCCAGCTCGGCGGCAGCAGGTGCATTCAGCTCCATGTCGAGATGTGCCAGCTTATTGAACCATTCCGCATTGATGGCAAACACAGAGGTGCGCAGCACAGCTGTGGCAAACGGTCGCGGCAGCTGCTTTATCTGTTGCCATGTCAGCGGCACCTCGCGCCGCCGCAAGCTCCAGTCGAAGAGGCCACGCCGTTCCACGACGCGCACATATTCCAGCGTCTCCTCGTCCAGTCGATCCAGCTGTGGTGTGGCAAGTGTGAATTGATCCTCCCAGATGGCAGCCAGCAGCGGCTCCAGCCAGCCCTCGCTCACCTCGACGTGCGCGTCCAGAAAGATGAGCGTCTCCAGCTTGGCCTCATCAGCAGCCAGGCGGCGCGCTCGCACCAAGCCCACGTGCTCCTCCAGATGAAAGATACGTGCCGCTCCATGAATATACCTCTGCACATACGCCCTGAAAGCCTGCCTGGAGCGCTGCTGCGGGCATCGCTGTGGTCATCTATCAGCAGCAGCTCGCCAATCAGTTCCGGATCCGATCGGTCCGCAATGCTGTGCAGCGTGCGCAGCAGCATGGCCAGCTGCTCGTTGCGAAAGATGACGACAATGGACACCGGCTCCATGAGTGCGCTCAGCTTCGGATAGCTGTACTCCAGGCAGCGATCATCACGCATGTCCAGCAGCCCGCGTCGCACTGGAATGCGCTCAGCTAGCCAGGCATTGTAGCCATACTCCAGCCAGAGCCTGGCAAATGCGCCAACTTCAGCAGCGGGCATGTTGTCCATGCCCGCGGCTGGCAGTGGCTCAACCAAGCCATCCCAATGGCTCAGCTGCTGATGCAGCGCCCCAAGCAGCAGCAACAACAAGAGACTCACTGCAACCTGCCACAACTTGAGCCGACCACGTCGGCTCGCCCGTTGCGACAATTGCCAGTGAAAGGGCCGATAATGCATCGCTTCTACTATGCAGAGTGCAACTAAAAACTGAATGTGTTCAAGTCCAAGTCCAAGTCAAGTTGGCTGCATTTCATGGCCAATCGAGGCGTGCTAATTGCATTGTCGCAGTCGCATAACCCAATGAACCGAACTCGCAACAGAATTTTATCAGAGTAACAAACATTTTTAGGAGACAATATATATTCTTCTATGCGTTACACATATCATGACCAAATTTGAATACCCTCTAGAAGGGTATTTAAATGTGTCTCACAAATATTTGCAAGGATTAAGCCATTGTCAAATGGAAACATGTCTAAATAACTCTTTGGAGAGGTTTGGCAATTTGAATTATGACATTTAAGAAGACAACAAAAAGAGGGCGAGAAATTTACGACAAAAGCCTAAAACGAACGACATTTTCCCAATGCCCAAGCAATAACAGTGAAAAGCCAACAACAACAACAACAGCAATAACAGTACAAAAATAACAAATAACAAATAACAGCAATAATAGCAACAATAACAACAACGATTTCCCACGGTACAGCGTTACGTATACGCCATGTGTTTGCCAACCTGAACATGTGTAGCTATCTGTAAATGCGTGTAGACGAAGAGGGCGGCGCGGCGTGCAGCAGCGGGGAGGGGGGCGAAATGGTAGTAACAAGCCATGCAAAACAAAAACAGAGAGAAATATCAGCAGCAGCAGCAGCAGCAGCCTCATATGTAGATATCGAGATACGTTTATACAAGCAACAGAGAGGCAGCAGCAGCAGCATTTACAAGGGCAGGTGGAGAGAGGGCGAGGGGGCGAGGGGGCGGCACACAGATAGCAGCAAAGATAGCGAGAAATGTACATTTCAAAAATTTATTTATTTACATTGACATTTTGTGCTACTTGTGCACTTTTTTCCCTTTTTTTTGCTGCCCCATCTCGCTCTCTCCCCAGGTTTGCCGCTCTCAAGCGTTGCTCACTTGAAAAACTGCTAACAAAGCTCTAAACGCTTGTTTAGGAGCCATCAGTTAGCAGGACACCCTCTACCCATACCAGTCCAGCTCAAGGAAAGACAGAGGGACAACAATGTATAATATATTGACTCAACTACAATACGGACATTGTCATAGCAAACGGAAGAGAGCCGAGCACAAAGCGGAAGACAGGTCAAGGGAGAGTCTATTTCCGCACCTGAAGTAACTGAAGTAAGCCAAGGCAACAGCAGCCCATGAGCTAGGGAAATCAGGACGAATTTGTTGGGACGTGCAACGAATATTGAATACGCTAAATTGCGTAACCTAATATAGACTGCAGTGCAGGATTTTTATTATTATTTCTATTATTTATTTTATTTTATTTGTTTTACTTTATTATTATTTTACTTAAAGTATTATATATTTGATTTCAAATATTCTTATTATTATTATATGTTATTACTAGCCTATCTAACGACTCAGGATCCCCGGATCGCAAGAGATTGAGAGATTTTCATACATAATTTCAACTAATACCCCCGTTTTAAGTATATATAAATATATCGGCGGCATTAGTCAAATTAAAGATATCTACATATGAAAAGAGATTGAAAGACTTTTAACATAATATTCCCTTTATTAGGTGTATGTAAACATTTCGGAGGAGATCGATAAATGCTCCACTAAGATTTTATATAACTCGCATACAGACAGCATAAGGCAAACTATATTATTAAAGACTCCCAAACAAGTTATAAAAAACACCCAAGAGATTTCCAATTTGCAGCGTTGCCACCTGACAAAGTTAGAGTACCCAGATCGGTGCGTAGTATTATTGCCTGCGGTGTATCTGGATTTGTGCGGGACGAAAGGCGGGTGTGGGGGGACGTCAGCTTAGAAAATGTTTGCAAATGCTAAACATGCCCGTATTTCATGCATATTTACAAATTTCGATATTTACAACCCCTTTCGTTCCTAAGAGAGGGCGGATGAGGGGGGGTGGTGTGGGGGGCAGCTCGACAGTCAGCCTGTCAGCCCCGTTAGCCAGCAACAAACTGAAGAGTTCACTTAACAGTTTTATTTGTCTTTGGAAAACTTTTGTCTACACACACACACACACACTCTCAGAGAGGACACACACATATACACAGGACATACACAGGACGCACACTTGAATGATTTGTTAGCTGGCTGCAGAGGGTAGCTGAGCGGCCAGGGGCCAGGGGGGGGGGGGGGGAGAGAAGGTTTGTCTGCTCTGCTCTGCCATGTGGTCAAAGACAAGCCAAACGTGGACCAAGTCAAAGTCGGGTTGCTGCTTCTCGTTGCTGTTGTTGTTGCTCCAATATCTTGCCGCACTTGAGCAATTTGTAACATGATAGAGATAAATGCCAAAGCAGCTCATTGAAATGTGTATGTGTGTTGTTGTTGTTCTTGTTGCAAGTGTTGTTGTTATGCTTATGTTTTTCTTTGCTTTGCATTGACTTGCTGCTTGGACTTTTGCAATTGAGAGGCAACTTGGAGGCAGCCTCACGGCGTATTCTTTTTGTACCCAGCTATTTGTCTAAAATATTTGCACTAAAATGGCAACAAAAGACGGCAAAGAGCTGTCAATGCCAGCCAGCCAAATACCATGACAACATACGCATACACACATAAATAAATACCTACATATATACATACTCAGTTTCATGAATGACACTGGATCGTATATTAAATAATTTGGCTGACCCGCTGCAATATTGCAAATCAAAGGCAATATGCGTTGCGTGCTCGAAAACCTGATGAACTACATTTTATGCGGGCCGCCAAACAAATCAAACTTCAAACTCAGATGCGACCAAAAAACTATGACAAAAATATGAATTGCGCATAGCACAACGCACAATAAACAATAAATTTTGATGGGGCCTCAAAAAATCTAAACACAGCGCAGCGTGGGGTCACACCGAAACAGGCATACCCTAATTGAATAATTAAATGTATATCTATTGCAGCGATCTGGCAGCACTGTTTTGTTTCTGCTGCTTGTTAAGTTAGCTGCGGCTGATAATTAGCTTGATGAAACGAAAAGTTTGGAATGTGGAACCGGAAATAATGGATTGATAGCTTTTAATTACGCAAAACATGTTTACGATAAGTCGTGATCGTGTGTAAAATAGGAAAAATAGGAAATTAATTTATTAGTCCACTATTAGAACTGAATATACTCTAGGGTGCATGGTAAAGTCGCTATGCTCCTTCCACCAGAAAAGGCAGCCATGTGTGTTTGTGTGTGTGGTTGTGCCATAAAACAAATTGGGTAGGCGGGCACAACAACAACAACAACGGCAGCAAGGCTGATGCTGAGCATGGGGCGAGATACGAGCAGAGTCCCTGGATGTACGCATGCATTTATGCCAGAGTCAGAGCCAGAGCCAGGAACAGAACTAGGCCTAGGCCTGACTCGGGCTTTTCAGATTCGGCAGCGGCATTGGCATCAGTACAGACAACACAGCGGACAGCGACCAAGGGCTGGCAGGGATGTGGGGCGCGGGGAGGTGTCCTGCTGTCAAATGCAGTGAAGCTGCGAGCGGCGTACAACAACGATTCGCATTGGAAGTTGTTGTGTGGATTTGTGGCTAAAAGAGTTAACAGATAAAATCAAATATGCACTATGCGGTGGCAGCGACGACCCAGGGCGTTTTCGGCCAACATTCCCATCTCCCCCTTGGGCACCATTTCCTCCCTCCCTCACCAAGCAATTGGCCAAGCACAAATTTTTAGTTTTTGGAAACGCATGCGAATTTATTGTCCGAGACGTTTGCATGCAACACGCAGGAGTGAAGGGGGGGTAATGGAGGGAGGCGGCGAAGAAGGAGGAGGAGGCATGTATGCAGTGCAGTTGGCATGACAACTGTGGTAGGCGTGGCAGCTGGCACGCCCACTGTCACAATCACATTTCCAACAACGGACGCCCCAGTGACGCGTCTGCGTGCGAGAAAACCGACTAAAAAAGAAAAAACTCTGCGATTGACCTACAAAATTGCAGTGGCCGGCTCTGCGCCTGGGCGGGCAGGGTAGTAGGTGGGCTGCTCTGATTCCGGATCTGGAGGTGGCAGCTGGACAGGCACACAAATCACAAAAAATTCTACTGCTGCTACTGCTGCTGCTGCTGCTGGTAGCGAGACGAGCAAATCACATGCCCAAAAGTGTTTGAAGCGAAATTACACAGAGAAGGCAGGAGAGGCACGCGATTCCTGAAAGAGAAAGGGGGAGGTTGAGCCAAGGGATGGTTGCTGGTGAATGGAAATGGGTGGTTCGAGCAGCGGCAAAGAAATGAAATCGATTGGCGATTTCTATGGCACCCAAAAGCTAACACTTGAAAAAAAAAATGCACAGTAAAAAACAGAAGAAAAAAACTGAAATCGGGCAAATGAAAATTGAGCTATGTGAAGTGCAATGAGATTTGTTGCTGTTGCTGCTGTTGTTGCTTTTGAATTGCTGAATTCCCGGCAAGCTAGAAAGGTTCAATAGAAGCTTATGTATTGGGTTAACAAAAGCAAAGTCAAGCAGCCGCACAAGCCCATTCAGCGATCCTCGTTAAAAGCGTCAGGGTCAAGAGAGACAGCGAGATATAGAGAGAGAGAAAGTTCATCTGGATTAGGCTTCGGAAAATGCTGCCAGCTCCGTTGGAAAATGAAAAGAAAAAACGTTGAAAGTAAAAATTGCTAAACAAGTTGCCAGTGCCACACCCCCGATGCCACCTGCCCTGCCCACAAGGCCAATAACAATTATACACTTGGGCTCTCTTTATGGAGCTCAACTCTAATTTGTGTGCTGTCTATTCTATGTGACGTTAATTGCAGCGCATGGGTCAAATATTATGGCTAATGCCGCCTTAACTCCCCTTCAACCACCTTTCCGTGTGCTTGTGTGCTTGTGTGTGTGTGTGTGTGTGTGTCTGTGTGCCATTTAGCACCGTTGGCGAAACAATTTAAGAATGAGAATACGCTCAGTCCACTTGGCATACTTCTGCCCCCTCCCACTCCCACTCCCAATCCCATTCC